TGCTGCCTCGCTGCTGCTGCTGCGCCCTTGCCGCCGCGCTGCTGCTGCTGCTGCTGAAGCTGAAGCGGCAAGAGGAGTGGGCTGGGAGGAGGAGCGGTGGCAAGAGAGCTGCTGCGGGGGAGTTGAGAGATCCATCGCTGGGAGGAGTGGTGGACTGGTGGCAAGAGAGTGGCAGCGAATGTGTGGCGGCTGTGGTGAGGGAGGAGGGAGTGTGGATGGTGGATTAGGTCACGGGAGGAGTATATAGCTACTAGATGGGCTTTTGGGCCACAGGGAAGTGCATAACTAGTGGCCCATCTCTGAGTTGGCCCTGGTTACTGCTGCTGGTGGTGTGCTCCTCCCCTCCTCCCCTGGTTGCTGCTGCTGCTGTGCACTTGTGCTCCTCCCCTGACTGCCTGCTGCTTAACTCACGTCGACTCGTCGCCATGTCGACTCATCGACCGTGAGTCTAGACTAGTCACGACTAGTCTAGAGTCGTCCTCCCCGAGCGACCCGTCGACTCATCGACTCGAAAACATTGAATGAATGCGATCTGTATGAACCAACAAGTTTTGCATTATTGCCCTTTCTCAGGGCCAGGTGCCTCAAATCAAGGCACTTGCATGAAAATTATATTTATATTTTATAAAGCAGCAGTTTAAGTTGTAACATTTAACAAATATGTGCTTAAGGACGCTTTGTTTACCACACAAACTACTGTATCCCTAGTCCCTACACATCTCGTTGTTGACGCCATGCATGATCCCTGTTCTTTCTGTTGCAACAAATTGTATCCATATCATCAAGATACCCAACAAACCAGGAAACGAGAAAACAAGGCAGATCTGCAAATCTGTTTCTCTTGGCACCCACAAAAACTTTCCACGGCCATTGGCTTCTACTCCTTGCCAATCCCCGGTGGCAATATCTCCTCCCCCCACCCTCCTTGATCCTATCAGGCCTCTCATGGAGAGGGGCCGTCTCATCAAACGTGTGGCTTAGGAGCAAAGGCTTAGCAGCGGTCATTGTGCAAGCTATGAAACCAGGACCCTGAAGGAGTCAATCTCTCCAGACCCAAGGTGACTTGCAATGAACCGGGGTGACTCCTGGGAACCCCAGATGACCGCTTAATCTTCCCCTGGAAAAGCAAGGGGGCCTGGTATCCACCCCAACCATGGCATCACCGGCCTAGGTCGGGGTGAGGTGACACCTTAATAACCCAGCTGACTGCCGAGATTGTTATGAAAATAACTACATGTGCTTGAAAATTGTGTATATAAGAGTTATCCTTGGGATGAATTGTTTGTAATTACACAGCTTGCCATGTTAGACAAACCTTTTAAAGTTCTCTTCGTGAATTTAGTATTTTCCTGTTGCAGGTGTTACAGTGCAGAACAACAGCTTGAAGATAGGGAGAGGCATCCAAGTAATAGTAGAGACACACATAAGCTCCATCCAGTAAGTAAACAAGACTCATTTTTCTCTTTAGAGAAAGAGAAAGTTAGTAACATATAACTTGATGTCTTAGGTTGACATTGTTGGGGTGCCTGAAGAGACAAAGGATAGAGACGATATTCTGGAAAGTGAGTTTTTTGACACCAGGCAGGCATTTCTCAGTCTTTGTCAAGGGAACCATTACCAATATGACACCCTTCGCCGTGCTAAGCATTCGTCAATGATGGTGTTGTATCACCTACATAATCCCACTGCACCAGCGTTTGTCACTACATGCAATGTCTGTAGCCATGATATTGAAACTGGTCAAGGCTGGCGGTGTGAAATTTGTCCAGATTTTGACGTGTGCAATGGTTGTTACCAAAAAGGAGCAGTCAATCATCCTCACAAGTTGACAAACCATCCATCAGTTGCCGACCGTGATGCCCAAAACAAGGAAGCCCGGCAAATGCGTGTTCAACAGGTAAGCCCCTTCAGACGATTTCCGCTAGTAAAATTGTTCCTAACCTGCGATTGTTGAAGTTGTGACTTTCTGTTTATTTTCATTAAATAAACTTGACAGCAGTCTAGCTTAAATACCATTCTTTTTTATATTTACGAACGGAGGGAGTAATTGGCAGGCATTTAATTACTGTAATAATTGAGTTAAGCCGGAGCTTTACAAATTGGAAGACATAAATATTCTTCCAGCATTCTCATTTGTTCATCATAATATTGTGGAAACAGTCAACATGTGCATCTTTACTTTTCGAGGCTGCAATTTGTAAAGTAGTTATTGTGCATAAGTCATGTGCTCCACTACAATCCTTTTGTTAAATAGTTCCACCATTGATTTTCCTTTTACCATCATCCTGCAGCTAAGGAAAATGCTCGATCTTCTGGTACATGCCTCTACATGCCGCTCTGGCAGCTGCCAATATCCTAACTGCCGTAAAGTCAAGGGACTATTTCGGCATGGGATGCAGTGCAAGACGCGTGCTTCAGGAGGGTGTGCCCTGTGCAAGAAAATGTGGTACATGCTTCAGCTCCATGCCCGAGCTTGCAGAGATTCAGGATGCAGTGTACCGCGGTGCAGGTGTGTTGGCGCATCTCTCATTTGTCCCGCTAACCTCCCACCACCCCTGTGCTTGTGCATACAGTATTTCAATCGTCTCTGGAGTAACATCTGACCTCCACCTCTGGTAACCATACAGGGATCTCAAAGAGCATCTTAGAAGGCTGCAACAGCAGTCTGATTCCCGGAGGAGGGCTGCTGTTAATGAGATGATGAGACAGAGAGCAGCAGAGGTTGCTACAACATGATTAGTTGCATCTGTACAGGTATACCGTCGTCGAAAGAAGATTAGGAAAGTGCGCAGGGTCTCAGTCCTCTCATCCCCCACACCAAGTCGAAACTTGGGGTCGTTGAATTAGAGGATCCAGGTCGACCGATTGTCCTGGAAGATGGAAGAAGACGCTGGCCATTCTTCGCCGACGATTAACATAGGGGCTTGAAAGCCTGCCATTCTCCGAAGGAAGGGTGAAGGGCGCAGTGCACCACAGTAGGTGGTAACTGTTTGCGCCCTGCTGACTGTGCCGCTGATGTTGTCGATAGGAACCGGCCTGGCCCCTTGGGTGTGGTGATTCTTTCGTTTGACCTGTACTAGTTGGACTAATCTTGTTTTTGCTGCTTGCCTGCTCCGTCGTCGACGTTCATGTATAATAGGTCTCTGGATCCTCTATTGTTGAAAAACAATGGTTGTAGCTGCTGCTGTTTTGTTCCCTCTGTTCTGGTTTCTTGTCACCTCGGTCAGGGGGGGTATAGTAGGGAGAAAGAAGGTAGAGGGATGGGCACTGGACATGGTTCTGTTTATTTATGTCCCCCTCCCATTTTGTAGGACAAGTCTTTATTTTGAAAGTATAAAGGAAAGTAAATCCTGCGTCTTTCTTTGCCCCTCCTTTCTTGCAAGGTAATGCATGATCTTGATTTGTCCAGTCAGATCATCACATTGGAAATTTTGAATGTGGGGATTATTGTGCCATGACGAAAATTAGAGCTGTGCAGAAATCTGTACGGCCATTTGTCTGAAATTTTGCCATCCCAAGCATCCAAATTGTTTTCAAATTGGTTTTACAAATATTTGCAAATTGCGTCGTGCTTGTTTTTTTTTCTAGTGAAGTGCCGTGCTTGGTTAGCTATATGCAGTTATGTAGAGTGCATTGTTTTGGTGCTCAACATGTAGCCCTTTGTTTGAAACATTCAAAAGTTATATTTCAAAGTTTAAAAAATTCTTAAACAAAATCCACATTGACATATGGATATACACTACATGTGTAAAATTTCATGAGAAAACACATGTGTAGAATTTTTGAATCAGTGAAACATTATTTTTGATCTTTTTCTAAAAAGAAGCTTCATGTAGCCTGAGCACGAAAACAAGTTTATGAGTTGCAAAATAGGGCACTCAAAAGCAGTTTTAAGGTAAAAAAGAAGAATTTTAAGAGCATTGGAAATTATGTTTCTTCAACAGATGTAAAATATGGCACCAAAAATCTTCTTCTTCAACCGGGATGATGTATAATACTCCCCCGTTTCTAAATATAAGTCTTTTTTAGAGATTTCAATATATAGTTCATACATAGTAAGATGTCTATATACATCCGTATGTACTTCATATTGATATACTCCCCGTCTTAAAATTCTTGTCTTAGATTTATCTAAATACGGATGTATCTAATACTAAAATGTGACTTGATACATCCGTATCTGGACAAATCTAAGACAAGAATTTTGGGACGGAGGGAGTACATCCGTATGCACTTCGTATTGAAATCTCTAAAAGACATGTATTTAGGAACAAAGGGAGTAGAAAATTATACCAAAACCGGCCCGGATCGGCGCAACGGGGACCCCGAATAGGTGCGTTGGTGGGGCTGTCGCGACCGTCCAAAGCGGCGGGTCGGTGGCGGCAGTGGACCGGTAACGGTGCCATTGGCGGCTGAAATTGAGTTGGCGACGGTCGGGGTGAGAGCCGGAGTGCGGCGAGAGGAAGTTTCACTTGGCGGTTTGGTGTTTGCATCACACAACTTTGGTTTTGCGCAACTGCTTGCGTGCTATATATTTACAGCGCAGGGGGTTGAAGTTCAGGTCTGCCTCAAATTAAGACCACAGAAACATAGAGATATAACAACTGCTGGAGTATTATTTTGGATTGAAATGTTCTAAAAACAGTTTTCTGGGCGGCTGACCTGGAGATGCCATTATATATAGGATTGTGGCAAGATCTCGGTCGAACGAGACTCTCAGTCAAGTGACAGAACATATAAAAAAGAAGAAAGAAAAATTTTAAATTTTTTTTACATGGAGTTTTGTATAATATCTAACGACTATAGCATGGACTGACTTTGATTCAGTAATCCCGTTATATGTATGCATAGACTACGAATTCGAACCAGCTGAGTTTGTTGTATCTGAAAGCTCTGACTAGGCACCGAACCGATCTGAGCCGTCCATCCGTGATCAGACGACGGACGGTCACCCTGCGGCGCACGCTATTTATCCGTTCCTCGCGCGCTCGCGACTCCTGATGGCGACGGCAGCGCGGCGCCTCGTCCCCTTCCACCTCCGGCCGCCCGGCGCGCGCCCGCTCGCCGCCGTTGCGGCGGCTCCCCACAGCCGCAAGCGCGATGCCGTCTCGTGCAAATCCACCGGCAAGACCAGGGCGAAGAACAAGGCCAAGGACACCACCATGTGGCGGCCGCAGCGGCGGGAGCTGGAGGAGCACCTCAAGCGGCGCACCCGCTCCGCCGGCGCCTTCGACCCCGGCCTCTACCGCCGCCACTCCCACTCCCACCACGTCCCCGTCTTGCTCGGGGAGGTCCTCGCCGCGTTCCGCCGCCCGCTCCCGCTCCGCTCCTTCGTCGACTGCACCCTCGGTGCCGCCGGCCACTCCCTCGCCGTCCGTAATCCCTTTCCTTTCGCATCTACCTTTATGTTGTCGTGGGAACAATCTGTTCGTGCTCAGTAGAATCGAATGCCTCTACTCGTTGTGGCTTCAATTTTACGTGCTCATTTGTGCCCATAAGCTGTTTGATGGAATGCGTCTTGGGGGTGACAGATGATGGAGGCGCACCCGGAGATGGAGCTGCACGTTGGCATGGACGTCGACCCCTCTGCGCTGGCGATTGGCCAGCGCCACATCGAGGCTTTCCTTGTTAGTAGGGCAACTGGGGAAGGGGGAGAAGATGCTCTGCAAGGGACACTACGCGCCTATACTCACGTCAAGAATTTCAAGTACATCAAGCATGTTGTTGGTGGCGTTGACGAGAGCCTGGCAGATGGCTCGTCTGGAGTTGACGGTATCCTCATCGACCTTGGCATGTCATCCATGCAGGTAAAAAATAAGTAAAATGTGAGGAAACTGATGCTAAGACTGCTAAGTTTCCCATTGGCTGACCAAATTTTTTTGGTCTGCTGCGCAGGTTAACAGGTCAGATAGAGGATTTAGTGTGCTCAATGATGGTCCACTTGACATGCGCATGGACCCTAAGGTCAGTGTTGATTTAGTCTTTTTTTTCGAGGGTACGCCTTTGGCGTACCTTAGCTTTATAGAAGAGAGAAATATATGTACAAGAGACTACAATTGTGCTAGTTAGGAGTCACAAGCCGACCCTAACTGAGCCTCCACCCCACTCCCACACGCTACTCGACTACTCGGATACTAGTTGTCCTCCAAACGCTCCTGCCATGGCCCAAGTCCTCAAGTCAGTGTTGATTTAGTCTTACTTACAGCCTTACTGGTCATTTCTTTGTTCACTTATTATCAGAATGCACCATGTATGGATGCAATATACTTTTTGCTACTTACTACAATCACGCAGTGTTGCAAACTTGCATGACTAAAGATTAAAACAACTTATATCCAATATTAGTTTGTCTTACTAAAAGATCATTTTATTGGCAGATAGCATGAGCTGCAATTATTTAGATGCGCTCGTAGTCATAATGCCAATCACAGTCTATCTAGGAATTTGTAAAACACAGTTGCACTTAGTTCATTTCTGTTGTGTTTCATTTTGTCTGTATTTACATGCACGAGTTCCATATATTGACCTTGCCATGTCCAAAATATCCAGGAATATTTTTTTGTGTGTTACTTCATGTTTGAGTCAATCTTGGTGAATTAGTAATGTCCAAATGGTACAACTCCACCTTGATATATGTTTTGTGTTACAGTTGTGTACTGCTTCTAACCTATAGCTGAAACTAGACAGGCAACTTTAACAGCAGAAGATATCTTGAACTCTTGGCCCGAGCTTGAAGTTGGGCGTATCCTCCGTGATTATGGGGAGGAAAGCAATTGGCAATCCCTTCAGAGGCGAATTGTTAAAGAACGGAAAACAGGGGGTTTACACTCTACTGGCGAGCTTGTCAAACTTATCCAAAGAACGTGCACCATTTCAGGAGGTATGTATGAAGCTATGATTATGATAATACTTTGAGGTTTCCTTCTATTATTGTGATAACACCATGCAAGTTTATATATATATATATATATATATATATATATATATTGTTTTGCTCGATAAACTCTTGTGGAATTTACAAGAAAATAATGATTTCTTATTGACCATTTGATCCTTTGATTTATGCAAATTTCTTCTTGCTACTTTGTAAATGTCCTGTAGTTTATACATAACTTCTCTACAAAAAAAAAGAAGATTGCTATTTTTGCAAGCCGGAGATAATTAAATAAGAATCTCACAACAAGTTTATCTACAGGACGGCAAGGCTGGATTAAAACTGCAACAAGGGTATTCCAAGCCCTTAGGATTGCAGTTAATGATGAGCTCCAAACTTTAGAAGACGCACTCCATTCGTGTTTTGACTGCCTAGCACCAGATGGCCGTCTTGCTGTAATCTCATTCCACAGTTTAGAGGACAGAATTGTCAAGCAGACATTCCTGGAGCTTATTCGTGGGGATGAAGCAGAGGATGATGAGGAAGACTTGGTATGCGCTGACATCGACGACGAAGATGAGCCATGGTTTAAGCAGAGAGTGCAAGGGACCAACGGCACTGTCCTGACAAAAAGACCGACAACCCCTTCACAAGAGGAAGAGAAACTAAATCAAAGGTGTAGAAGTGCAAAGCTCAGAGTTATTCAGAAGGCCTAAACGGAATAACACTGGATACAAATTTGTGAATGATTGCTGAGGAGATTATCGAGGCCGCAAAACATGCGACTGTCAGTTTCTCATCTGCTCACCAGGAAGCAAACACTTTGAAATCGCCTGAAACTTGGTTCAGGGAGGTGAATAGGAGGTCTTTGCTCCCCCCAAAGATGGGAACATGGAAGGTAGAGGGTTAGGTTAGTCCAGAAGTAATAATCTCACCGTGTTTGTACTTTGTACCATTTTTCCAACTTCACTCGTGTATATTGTACTCTGTTTGCCACCTTCTCTTGCAAGATGCGACCAATTTTATGCCATCTGCAATTCTGCATTCGACATCTGAATTCTTCGTCATGTTCCCAGCGACCTGGGTGCTTGTTGTGTTGCTTCGTTTCATATGAGAGTTCTGTACCACTCGGGGGCTAGGTACCCGCGTGTGCCACGGGACACTGTCACGCTGGTGGAAGTGCGTGGCTGGTCCGGCTGGAGCACCTTGGCGAGCCTGAAGTCGGCGATTTTCACCGTGCCGCCCCATCTACAAGGATGTTCTGCGGATTGACGTCGCAGTGGATCCCAACCCGTCCGAGTACTACAACTTTTCCAGAGTGTTAGGAATCGTGTGTCTCATAAGTGGCCAACCAACTCATTACATATGGCTTAAAATGGTAACCTGGGTGGTGGAATTTGCGTATAAACCACATGGATAAACCACACACTCATGAATTTGGTGTAGGGCGTATTGCAATCATCTAGAATGAATGGCTTGAGAAGAACCGATGCAATTTTCAGGGACAGTCCATGGAAGGTTCGATATCTGGTGTATAGTGTTGGAGTATAATGTCCGGCGTATAATGTCCGGCCCTCTCTCTCAGATCGATCAGATGGATGAACTGGTTAGGTGCATAAACTTACAAGCAACAGGTTCAGGGTTCAAAATCCAGTAAAACGCAATAAATAATTGCGGCCTGCCCCCGCTTCCGCTGCCCACGTCATATAGCTCCAAAGGAGCATAGACGTGAGGGGGAGTGTTGGAGTATAATGTCCGGCCCTCTCTCTTGTTGAGGACCTCCTAGAGGAGGTTAAGCTTTTGTGTGCCGGTGTATTTTTTTCTTTGGCTCTTTATCATTTCGGTTCTGGTGCATAAACTGTACATTGTTCGATATTCAGTACCTACACAAAAATACTTTCATACATGTTGATTCTGGCAAACTTTGGATTGAAAATGTACTAATTATTGTAAAAGTTTCCTAAAAATTGAGCAGACGAATTACTACCCAAGTATCAGAATATGGCTGCATTTCTTGCCTAGGGAAATCAAATAAGATTTTATCTGTAAATGTTTGTTGAGAAACCTGACTCAACCTCTTATCCTATCACGTTTAATCTTCATTTTGTCAATAACTGCAGTGAAAGGAAAGATACACTCTAAGAACATCATTCTCAAAACACATATCTTTATTCGTTATGGGAAGAAACACAAAAAAGCTATGGTCTAAGCATATGCAAATTAACCCGGTTAGTATTTTCAAAAGAACTGTAACTGATCAGAATTGCTTTCTTACCTAGGAGTATTTCGTACAAGACTACAAGGATATGCTTTTACACGAACAATGCCATTATGGGGTTTCTTTTCCAAAAGGAATAAGATATTCACCAGGTTATATGTGTGTCGGAGTAAATAGCCATGGGTAGCCTAGCCGGCTTCCCCTGGCCCTTCTGAAAAAATTACGAGCCCGTCTGGCTCTCAAGAATCCAAGACCTGGGGCCGCCCTCCCCTTGCCGGCTGTTGTCCAGGCCGGCTTTCGGGAGGCGGCCCGACTTTAGCCCTCATGAAGAAAGCCACGGGAGGGCCGGCTTTGAGAAGCCGGCCATGAGAAGGCCGACTCCAAGAAGCCGACTCCCGCAAATTGGTCAAGACCATGCCCTCGAAGTTTGCATCCACTTAACGGTGACGAGATGGGACGTGGCTACAGTGAAGCCTGCCGCCCCCAAATCCCGGGGCATGACCGGCACAGTGCGCCGTACGGGTGGCCACGACCCGCCCGGCGCAACACTGTTGCCATGACGACCCTGACGCCATCCACGACGGACTACCGGCGCGGTCCACGGGCGGTGGGTCCCTTCGGGCAGAGAGCCACCTGAAGGCGGCCGCGCCTCCCCCCAGTCGGCTCAAGAGATAGCCGGCTCCCCGTAGTCGGCTTGCCACCCTCCTCGAAGGAGACGCCTCATTAAGGAGACAAGACACGGTGAGGCTACAGTAATCGCCCACCAGGCGGCGGTACTGTAGCCACTCCTGCCCCGACAAAGCCCACGCTATCAATGTGGAGCAACAGTAACCAGCCATCGACCGGGCCCTGGACGGTGGGGCCTGCCTGTCGACCAAGGAGCCGGCAGCCGGCGGGTCCCACCAGTCGGCGGGCCCCAGCGGCCGGGGCAGAAGCCGGCGAGCGCAGTCACAGACGGCTGGGCCCCGCGCCCAGTCGGATTACCATTGTACCCCCGGGGGGTAGGCCTATATAAACCCACCGGGGCACCCATGCAAACGGTTCGAGCCCTAGCTAATTCTAGACACCATACGAGGAGAAGAAGCAAGCTAGCCGTGCCCTTCTTCCTCCTCCCACCAAAAACAGCTGAAGGAGCATTGTGTAGCCACCTGTGCATTTTTAGTGATCATGCGGAGACCCCGCAGAGCAGCAGTAGGGGTGTTATCTCCACGGAGAGCCCCGAAGCTGGGTAAGATCCGCCGGCGTGCATGTCTTCGCCTCATCCCGTTTCCAGGCACCGGCGATGTCTTACTGGCTCCCACAATGATAAGCCACCCGTTGGCATATGTCGCACCTACCACCCGACATTTGGCGCCTACCGTGGGGCCAGGTGCACCATCGTCCGGAGACCTGTTCTGGACGGGAACCCTCTTCCTCCCCAGCGAGCATAGCCAGCCCGGCACACCCGATGGCGCTTGCCACGACGCGCTGCAAGGCGTCACCAGCATCTGCGCGGCGAGCAGCCTCGCCGATCTCCTCGACGAAACCCTCATCTCCGACGAGCTCGCCTCCGATGCGGGCACCGACCACCTCGCCAACCTCCTCGGCCAGCTCCACGTCTCCAGCGAGCCCGCTGCGGATCTGGAGTCGGTTGGCTCCACCGACCCGATGCCTGTCGATTCGACACGGCCTCCTTCGACACCTTCCCCACCAACGTCGCGATCTACAACGACCCGCTTCCTCAGACCGACGTCCGCGATACTGTCACCACCGAGGTGATGGTCATCGGCCACGGCGGTCCGGCTGACGAGAGCGCCCACGACGCCCCGCACGCGGCGGCCCACGACCTGTCCATCCCCCTCCCGGCTGATGCCGACGATGAAGCACTGGAGGCACGCCGCCTCGCCCTCCTCGCAGAGGGCCGGAGGCTGGCTTCCGTGAGACGCCTCGCTGAGGCCTACCAGCGTGAAGCTGACCGCGCCGCCTTCGACACGCCGGCCCCGGGCGGGCCAAGCCGGGCTGGCGCTGTCAAGCAACGCGGCGCCGTCATCGCCGACACGCTGGGAGTCGACCGCCCGGTCTATGCCACTCCGCTCGAGAACTTGCGTGCCACCCAAGCGGCCGTGGACGAGTTGGACGGCTTGGAGGCCGAAGACCTCCCCCACATGACCCGGCGCATCCAGCAGCTGATTGACGCGGCCGCACAGCGGCACGAAGCTGACGCCCGCGCGGGAAGCCCTCCCCCGCGCCGAGATCACGGCGCAACGTCCCGGACGCCGACTACGAGCAACACCCGCGTGCGGCGCGAGAGAGAACCGGCTGCCAGCCGGAGCCGGACCCGAATCTCCATCGAGCGAGACGCGGATGGCCATCCCCAAGCCATGGAATGGCGGGGAAACCCGCCTCCGCCTCGACCCCGTGGAGAGAGATATCCCACCCCGCCGCCAGTGGCGCACCCGACTCTCAGCGGCCAACTAGGTCGCCGCGAAGGAGTCGGCGAGAGCGATGCCCGCCATCGGATCGACCGCCTGGCGTGATCCCTGGCGCTGGAAGAAGAAGCCGATGTCGGCCCGCCTTGTTTCGGCCCCCGCATCCGTGACGAGCCTTTCCCCAAAGGGTTCTCGCTCCCCAGAGACACGCCCAAGTACAACGGCTCCGTGAAGCCGGAAGATTGGCTGATCGACTACTCCACGGCAGTCAGCATAGCCAACGGCAACTGGCGCGTTGCCGTGAAGTACGTGCCCCTCATGCTGCAAGGCATGGCGCGGACTTGGCTCAACAGCCTCAAGCCTCTCAGCATCAACAGCTGGCTAGATTTCACTGAAGCTTTCGTCCGCAACTTCACCAGCACCTACAAGCGGGCTCCCAAGCCCAGGCAGCTCTCCCTGTGTGTGCAGGGCCCAGCCGTGTCCACCCGCGACTACCTCACGCGTTGGGCCGAGCTCCGCAATTCCTACGAGGGGGTGCACGAGGTGCAAGCCATCGAATACTTCACTGCCGGGTGCCGAGAAGGTACCCTCCTCAAGCACAAGCTCCTCTGCGACGAGCCGGCTACCCTCGACGAGCTTTTGGACATAGCCGACAAATACGCCACCGCCGACTCTTCAATGAAGACCGAGCTCCGGGTAGACGCAACCGAGAAAGTACTCAACCCGGCGCCCAAGACGCCGGCAGGGGATTCCGACCGACGCCCACACCCGAACGATCACAAGCGCAAGGGCCCTGCGCCGCCTCCCGCCAGTCAGCAGGTGGCCGCGGTCGAAGACGCGCCGCCTGAAGGGCAGCCCGCGCCCAAGAAGCCCAAGGGCGGCCGGCCGGCTTGGCAGCCGGCTTTCTCCTACGAGCAAACCCTTGACGCACCGTGCAAATTCCATAGCGGCGCGAAGCCGTCCAACCACATGACCCGGAAGTGCCATTGGCTCGCCTGAATCTCCAAAGGCGAAGGGCTCGCGCCACCTCCGCCTGCCGGCCCGCCGCCTCCGCCTCCGCCGCCCCCGGCCGCTCGGCCCGCAGTCGGAG